CAAGAATCTTCCTTTCCTTTGAGCTCATTGAGTGATTTACCTCAAGTTCTCTTAGGTTTCCATGTTTTTCACATAATATCATAGTTTTAGTCTCATTCTCTGTTCTATTCTAAATATCTCCAAGCCAAAAGCTGTTGAGAAAAGTGGGGAAGAGACCTCAAGTTCTGTTACTTAAAGAGACAGTGTCATCATGTTGGTACTGACCATTCTAGTATCTTTACACACACACACACACACACACACACACACACACACACACACACACACACACATATACCACATTGTACTCTCACATTGCCCTGAGTAAAATCACAGATGCAATCAATCAATCCCTTTTAATCCTTTTTCTGTTTGGTTCAGTATTTAATAGTGATATGTAGTGTTTTACCTTTTATCTCGACTTTAAGTCTTGTAAAATTGCTGCTAAATGAATTTCAGAGAGGGCTCTTGTAGTTTAGAAAACAGCAGTCACTTCCTTTATAAAGTCTTTGGTAGCTGAAATCCTTGGTAGAAACCTGTTCTCCCCAATTTTCTAAGTGGTATAAGTCTTGATGAATATCACTTCTGCACTTGCACCTTTATTCTACTTTTAGTTGCAGCCAGGAAGCCTTAATGTCAAATATTGTATCTTAGAAAAGAGACATCAGCTGAACTATGTGATTTATCTTGAATGGCAACTAACATTGTCAAGGCAGTATTGAGAGTTGAGAGTGAAAAAGGAGCAAAGTGGGCTCACCAGCCAGGTCTGAACTTGATTAAGTTTGTATTCTTTGTTGTAACTTATACCCATTAAATCTGTAAAGCAAGATTAAAATACTGTTTATGAAAATATATACAAATGTTTAAGATATGTTGTAAATGAATTTAGTACTATATAATTATTCTGATAGCCTTCTGGTCAGATTACCTTAAAAACCCCAAATGATCTTGATGAATAGTAAGACATTATGATTTCATGGTTCATCTGAATACCTCCTACATAGATGTATAACACTTGTATCTAATAGGATTACCAAATTACATACCTTTTTGGTATCTGTAACATGCCTAAAATACCAAAGTATTCGTTGGCCAGTTGTGGTTATAAAACCACATTGACGTTGCCAGAGGAGGATTTGTTCGCACGTATAGATAATCTTCAGGTTTCTCATTCCATTTGGGGAGAGGAAAGATGCTCTTTTTTTAAATTGAATTTGATGTCCCTTTTCTAGATAACACGGTTTGATTCTGTGGGTTTTGTCTGTGCAGAGATAATGTAACAAATGTGGTGTTTTCTATTTGGACAAACTGCCAGCAAGTTCAGTATGGAGCGGTGTGACTGCATGGTTCTTGGTGCCCGCTCAGAGCCCGGCTGGCGGTGAAGAGCGGCGTGCAGGGGAGGCAATCACAAACACATTGCTTCTTGCCATTGCTACAGTCATCTGTAATAGTTTCTCAACCCTTTTCCAACTGTGGTCCCCTTCTGACCTGTTATTTCCTTCCTGTGATTGATTGCCTGTCCTGCTGGCTGGCCCCCTAGTCTTGTGCAGTGGCCCTTCAGCTATGCAGTTTTCACCTATGGCCCATTTGGGGACCCATAGGGAGTCCTGTGGCCCCTGATTGAAAAACACTGTCTAGAGCATGATGGCCAAGCAACTTGCATCCACATGCTCTGGGTCATTTCATTCCTGGCTTTAAATAAATGGCCTTTCAGATCTGTGTTTTCGAACCTGGCCCCTGTTAGTTTTCTAGGGCTGCCATAACCAAGCACCACAAACCAGGTGGCTTATTAAATAGAAATGTGGGTGTCTGAAAGAGTATAGGGAGTAAGACCAGAGAGATAGATAGTATAGGGTGCTTCCCGACCTCCCCTGCTCTGCATATGATCCCCCAAGAATTGCCACTGTGACCCCCCCAAAAAAAAACCCAAAAATCTTAAAGGTCTTTAAATGTCCTCTGTGGGTGGCATTGTGCCAGTAAGATTTTGCTTCTGCATCTTCTTCTAGCTCTTGGGCTATAATGCTGCGCCCTTCTGTAAACACAGCACATGCTCCAGGAGTCTCCCCTTCACTCCTTTCAAGTATGGAATTCCCTCTCTCCCCTCACTCCTGCCTCTGATTTTTCTCACCAGCCAAATTCTCTCACAGTCAGATGGAAACCAGCATACCTGGTTTGTAGGCCAAAATGCCAGATGACAGTTATTTCCCCTTACACAAGTACAGCAGTAGGGCATTTGTGTTGCGTGTGGCACGGCCAGCCTGGCTGACCCTGGTTCGATTTTTCCGCCCCTCTCTGAGAGGCAAGCTGCCGAGAGTATCTCGCCCATGCGGCAAAGCCTGGCAATCTACCGATGACATATTCGATATGCTAAATACAGTGACAACAAGTCTCACAATGGAGACATAACTGGGCCTGCGAGCAAATCGATGAATAATGGGAGGAAAGTGTTACAGTTCTACACAAGTTATTAACCCCTTTCAGTTTTCTCAGAAGTAAAATAAAGAGAATAAAACTTTGGGGCCTGAGGTCTCGTACAGGAGTTAAAGTTCTTGCGTTGCATGTGGCTTCCCCAGATTTCAATCCCCACTACCACAGGGTCCCTGGTCCAGGGGCCACTCCTGAACAGGGAGCCAGAATATCCCCTGAATACTGTCAGGTATGGCCCAACCTCCACTACTCCCAAAATCAATGAACTGTAAGATCTTTTCTATATTAAAATTTGTTCTTTAAATGCCATACCTCAGGGCAAGGGATATGTATGGCTCAATGGTAGAACACCCTCATCTTAAGTGTGTGAAGCTATGGATTCAATCCCTGGAACTGAAAAGAAAAATTCTGCACACATACCTCTGTGAAACAGTCCTGGATTCTTTGAGGGAGAATAAATCGCTTCCTTTTTTGAACTATAGTGCTTGAATTTTTTATAATCTTGGTTCTGTTATTTCAGTGCTTACATTTTAGTGGTAATCATGCACACGATTATTTTATTTTCCCCTTCGGATCTCCTTCTGTTCTTGGGGGACAGACTGCACTTAAGAGTAAAGTGTTCAGAGGGTTGGAGTGATAGCACAGTGGGTAGGGTGTTTGCCTTGCACCTGGCTGACTCAGGTTCGATTCCCAGCATCCCATATAGTCCCCTGAGCACTGCCGGGAGTAATTGCTGAGTGCAAAGTGAGGAGTAACGCCTGTGCATTGCCGGGTGTGACACAAAAAGAAAAGAAAAAAAGAATAAAGTGTTCCATGCAGACACCATCCTTGAACATGCAGCCCCTGGGAATTGCCCTGCACTGGGAAGGAGATGCTGAGAGCTGGGTCACAGACCATGCATTGTGCAGTGAATGCACTGAGATTTTTCCTTTTATGTGGTATCATTATGATCAGGTGACACACTAATAAGTAAAGTAAGTAAAGTAAAGGCCCTCCCGTTGATCGTCGATTTGCTCGAGCGGGCCCAGTAACGTCTCCATTGGAGACTTTGTTGTTACTGTGTCTGGCATATCAAATACTCTCGGTAGCTTGCCAGGCTCTCCAAGAGGGGCGGAGGAATCGAACTCGGGTCGGCCATGTTGGCCGCTTGTAAGGCGAACGCCCTACCCGCTGTGCTGGAGCGATAGCACAGCGGGTAGGGCATTCGCCTTACATGCGGCCAACATGGCCGACCCCAGTTCGATTCCCCTGCCCCTCTCGGAGAGCCCAGTAAGCTACCGAGAGTATTCAATATGCCAGACACAGTAACAACAAAGTCTCCAATGGAGACGTTACTGGGCCTGCTCAAGAAATTCAGGTGCTTATGACACACTAATAAATCCCTAAGATTACTTTGTAACAGTTACTTTTTATAAAGATTTGTTGTCTCTACTGGATTACTAAAAGTGATTAAGTGGTTTGTGAGACCTCTACAGAACACCCGTTTTCTTCCTTTTTTCTCCACCTGTTTTTCAGAGATTCAGACCATCTCACTGCATCACTGAAATATTTGGGCACTTAAAATACTAAAGAGTGGCAAAGGACATTAGGAACCTGGTTACTTGCTAGAAGTCAAAGCATCCCTGCCCTGTCCTGCTGTTCCTTACAGATTTAAGCATGTCATTACTTTCTTCAGAAACATCCAGTCACATTTGCTTCTTAGAGAAGGGCCAGGCCTGGCTCTTGCCTTCAGAGCCTGTCGGATACTGTATTTCTTATATCATTTCTGCCCATGTTTCTGAGCACACGACGGAACAGAAGCAGTGGCCCACCATGTTTTTCTGGTACCTTCCTTTACTTTGTTGTACCTGCCTTTCTGCAGTTTCCCAGTTTCAAGTGCCCAGCTATCTTTAGACATTACTACAGACCTGTGTTTTCACTCATTTTCCAATGCACAGTCCATTCCTTTCTCTGCCACAAAGATTTTTTTGATTTCCATCCAGAATTCAGGTACAGTTGGTTTCTTTCTTATAATTTGTCTCTCCCCAATGCTACAATTTCTAGAACAGTGTTATCTGCCTGTTGGACTCAAAAGTTCCCTGGGGTCACTTTTCGTGTCTGATTTTTCTATACTCTTCTCCCTTTCCTCCTACTTCAGCCCTGATACAAATATCAGAAAGAGATAAATCTCAGGAATCATTTTTAGCACAAGTTATAAATGTATTAATGGATAACAAAGCCACCCCATTTTGCTGTTATGGAATCATATCTTAATCTAAAATATCTAAGCTTTAATTCTAGGATCCAACAACGTGCCTGAAGGAAGATTCAGACCAGAAACAAAAATGATACATTGGGTAAAAGTTATGTTTGTAATTATAAAGCATTTAACGTGCCACCATATCCTCAAACCTGTCATGTCTTTCAGATTCTGTACATTATTATTTCAGTCCACTATATGTAAAAGAAAGTGCTAAGTGTTTATAAATGTTTTGCATTTTGCGTTTTATTTTTTCACATTGACATTCTATTTTTTTCCCCATAGTGTGTATTTGTCCTGCTTTTATTTTCCACAAGCTCCTGACTTTATGTTCTGTGCTTGTTTCATGTTATAGGCTAATATCCTTTCAGGAATTTGTAGCATTTGAATCGGTCTTGTGTGCTCCAGATGCCCTGTTCATGGTGGCTTTTCAGCTGTTCGACAAAACCGGCAAAGGAGAAGTCACATTTGGTAAGAGGAGTGTGTGTGTGCACCTCTGAGTAAGTGCAGACTTGTGTGCTTTTGTTTGCCTTCTTCCTCTTCAGAAATGAAGTCTATGAAAATGATTTTAGAAATTAGCAGAGCCCTTTTAAGAAGATATTTTGATGCTCCAGTTTAATGAGAGCATCCAAGAAACCAAAAATTTGAATGTCAATTGTATATGACTGTAGTTAGAAGAATGTGCCACCTCCCCCTCAAATACCCTTCCTTCCACAGGTATAGTCCCAGGATTTGCTTGTCCCACCAAACAAAGAAGGTGGGAGCCAGAATGATAATACAGTGGCTAGAGTGTTTGCCTTGCATGTATCCTATCTGGGTTTGATCCCCAGCTGTATAAACTCCCAGGGCGGCCAGGGGGAAACCTCTACGCCAGCATTGGGGCAGGGGGGCGGGGACCTCGGGGCACTCCCGCAGTTCTGGGTCATGGGGCAGATGTTGGACAAAACGATGGCCAAGCCAGTTGGTTGATCAAATGCCATTTATTCCATTCTCCCCATGCGCCTGCCCCATTCTCTCTGAGCCTCCCATTCTAGTCTCACACTGCTCCTCATTCCTGTCTCTTCCTGTCTCTTCCTGTCTCTCCTGCTCATCTCTCCGTGCTCTATCTTGCAGCCTGGGCTCACTCTCTCCACTTGCCTGCTCTTGTATTCTTCATCTACATCCCTCTCTCTCTGTCCCCCCTGCTAGTCGCTCCACACTCCATCTTGTTGACCTGCTCTCTCCAATCTCTCTCTTCAGTTCCTCCAGCTCTCCAGCTCTATTGTCACTCTCCCCTTTGCCCTATGGGCCCATGCTACACCCAGTCTGGTAGCCAAATCAGCATAAGAAAGCTGAGGGCCCACCAGGTTCAAAGGAAACACCACCTAAGAGGTATTCCAAGCTCTTCTTGACTGCCCAAGGGCAAAATACCTTTTAAGTATTTCCTCAGTCCAGTAACTCTATCAACATCTTAATACTAGTTATTTTTGTATGGACATAGTAAGAGGTACATTGAGGCTTGTAGGGCGGCTCTCCTGTGAACATCTTGCCACAGACTCAGACTACAGAGCTCAGGCAAGATTAATCTTTCCTAACCCTAGCAGGTCCGAATCTAATTATTACTTTTTGGATCATGACAGCATTTGTCCATGACCAAGCTCTTAACTTACAGTTAAGCATTATGGCACTTTTTCCAAGCCCATGTCAATGCCAGGGTAGCACATAGCTTACCGCTTGTCCTGGTTTCATCCAGTCTCTCATCAGGACCCTGCTTTTGGCATCACTAGAAAGTAAATACAGCTGAGGCTTAGGTGAGAGAACAGATGCCCAGGAGGAAAATTTCACAGAGTCACATTACAAAAGCATAGCGTATATTGTCTTCTTGTGTCCATACTAAAAGGACATTGCTCTGAATAAACTATGCAAAGGACTCAGGGAGAAGAGAAAAACAATATTTACAAGTCAACAGAGTACAAAGAAAGAAGTTACAAATAAACACAGGAATAAGAGCACTGTGATGGGAGCAACCCAATAAACCTAAACTACCTGAGGCTATGAAGGAAGGACAAAACAGTGTTACCCTACACAGGACCCCATAATGGTCCTCTGAACATCTTTAGGAGTAACCCCTAAACACAAAGTCAGGAGTAACCCTTGAGTACCACCAAATATGACTCCAAAACAAAAATAAATAAATAAATAAATAAATGAGAAAATAAATTATGGAGTAGAGAAGGGGGAAAATAACAATGGTAGGGGGAAAGTAAATGCACCTGAGTTTAAAGGATGATGCTAAGGGCCAGAGCAATAGTACAGCAGGTACGGCATTTGCCTTACATGAGGCAGACCTGGGTTAGATCCCTGGCATCCCAAATGGTCCCCTGAGAAATGCCGGGACTAATTCTTGAGTGCAGAGCCAGGAGTAACCCCTGAGCATCGCCAGGTGTGACCCCAAAAGGAAAATAATAAAAATAAATAATTTTATTTATTTTTTAAAAAACTTATGCACAGCAGGATGGCCTTAGAATAGCTTTCTGCTGATGCGGGAAGAAAAATAGTCTAAAGTAAATTAATGAGTAGAGTGTTATTAGAAGGACATTACTCTGAATAAACTGTGCAACGGACTTAAGGAGAAGAGAAAGACAATATTTACAAGTCAACAGCACAAGGAAAGAAGTTACAAATTTAAAGAGGAATGGGAGCACTGTAATGGTGCAACCCAATAAACCTAAACTACCTGAGGCTATGCAGGAAGAACAAAACAATGTTATCCTATACCCTGGCACCCCATATGGTTTCCCCAAGTACTGCTTGGAGTGATACCTGAGTTCAGAGCCAGTAGTAACCCCTGAGCATTGTCAGGTGTGTTATCCCCTCTTCTTCTTCGCCCCCCCTTGCCCCGACACACACATAGAAAAATGTAACAAACCACAGAGTATGTCTTTTATATGTTTATAAGCAGCACTTGATGTTTACTTAGGATTAAACTGAGAGATGATAGATGCATATTTATAGATCAAGTAGCAACCAAAACAGCTATGGAATTTCAGAGTGGCAGCTGACTTTAGAGGCAGGGGCTCATTTCCACGTATACTTAGGAGGCCTGGATGCCCCTTCAGCTAATTCTCAGTGAATCTTCCTGGGTAGCTCAGTCCAAGGGCTCAGTGCTCCTTGGGCCCTGAGGTGCTAGCAGTTACCTGGGCCACCTTGGCAGTGCATAGGAGTCTCCTAGGTCATACATCGGAGTGCCTGGGTATCTTCTGGACTCCAACTCGGGGACCCTGTTGTGCCAGGCTTCAAACTGGTGATTGAACTGACTTTGGCTGCAATGTGCCTTCACTCTGGTGCTGTCTCACATGCCCCTGATTGTAGCATTTTTTTTGTCAGATAAGGAAGAGTTACCGAATATACAAGCTGTCTTTTCCCAAAGAACAAATTTGTGTATTTCTGAACTAATTTCTGAACTAATACGATGAAGGGGTGACAGCCTCTGGAGTGTTTTGACAGCAAGTACCTTTGTACGAAACTGATAAGCTTTTCCAGGAAACGCACAATGGGGGTGAAATCATTCTTTGAAAGAAATGGCATGGACCAGGAGCGATTGTACAGTGGGTAGGTGTTTGCCTTGCACGCGGCCGACCTGGGCTTAATTCCCAGCATTCCGTATGGTCCCCTGAGCACCGCCAGGAGTAATTCCTGAGTGCAGAGCCAGGAGTCATCCTTGAGCATTGTCAGGTATGACCTGAAAAGCCAAAAAACAAACAAGCAAAAAAAAAATGGCGTTGGGCCAAATTAACAGTATAGCAGGTAGGTGTATGCTTTGCATGCTGCCAACCCAGGTTCAATCCCTGGCACCCTATATGGTACCTCGAGCTGACAAGTGATTCCTGAGGTAGAGCCAGGGTTAAGCCCTGAGAACCTCTGCCTATGTCCCCCAAACAAATAAACAACAACAACAAAAATGATGTTATGCAGAATCGGGCTGAACCAGTCTCCTAAACCCAGGGTATTAAGACAGTTCCTCTCGTTATCTGGCTTTTTGAGATGAGTAATGGCACTGTTACCTCTGATTGCTCCCTCAGCTCCTTGTCTGCCCTTGGTCTTCCTGAAGCTTGTCTTCCTGCAGATACCCCTTTGGTAGGCAGGTGGTAAGGTGGTGATTGGGCAGCACTCCTGCTGCCCTTTCATCTCCCAGACTGGCACAGCCAGCCGTGACCATAGGACGTATGGTATTCACCAGGGCAGTAGTTCATCCTGGAGAGGCCTGAATGAACTTGTCTTTTGTTCTTGTGTTTGACTCAGAGGAGAGCAGTTACTTACTTTTGAGCCCTGTCTGTATATTGGGTTTCCACAGAAGGGTTTATGTGTAGTTGTCCTTCCATGACTGAACTCAGTCAGCATCAGTGTCTGTCGACAGACAGTGCTCCTGTGTCCATTAATGCCGGTTCTGCTACACCCGCAACCAGAAATCAAACGAAATGTTGGGCGAGTGATCCGCTGTCACATTTCAGTGATGCCTTGCTCTGTTTTCTCTGAGACTTTGTTTATGTTTACAGTATTTTGTGTCTGGATCACTCCCTATGTTTGCTGCAATGAAAAGATCTTGATTAGACCAATTTTGTTCCTTTGAGACCTAGTTTATTCTTCTATTTCGTTGGAGGGAAAATTTACCTTTAATGTTCTTGCTTTCACCATGTTTACCTATGTAGACATATCCAATATTTGTAACTGCAGTTTCTGTTTGTAACAGATACACAATAGGATAGCGCATAAGGGGAAAGATCTAATAATTTATAATTCTGTATGTTCAGAAAAAATATTTTCATAGTGGATTCATTTGCATTTTTCTATTTTACGTGATTTGTAAACCTTTCTAAAGCACATAATTATGTGTTGCCTAAGGATGTTTGAGTTAACAAAGGACTTCCTAGATGACAGTGATGCCAGTAGGCAATAGATATTAGCTTAGGTATAAAGTAAGTACTTAGGTGGTAACCTAGGTTTGTGTCATTACACTGAATCACAGTAGTTTTCAACCTTTGGATTGCAGAAATTTCTTCCAAGTTCAAGAAAAAAATATACTGCCTTTTTACTAGTACACCCTGTCATTGATGAAAATCAAACATAGAAATGGAATGGATATTTTTCTCTCTGAAATAACACTGATACTAAACTTTCCAGCGAATAAGAAGCAGGAAAGTTGTGCTAATACTATTTGGATTAAATTTTTGCTTTCTCCAAAATTTAAGACTTCTATTATTAGCATTTTGTTGCTCTGTTTTTGGTTAAGTTGAAATCACTACCAAATTTTCATTTTATAATAATATATTTAAAAATTAGTATACAATTGCAGCTCTCAGTACTGATATTTATTCTTAGTAAACTGTTTCTCCCATTTTCACTGGAGTGTAGGTTTTAGGTTTTTTTGTTTTCGTTTTTTTTTTGCTTTTTTAGTCACACCCGGAGATGCACAGGGGTTACTCCTGGCTCAT